AGGGCGAGGGCGAGGGCGAGGGCGAGGGCGAGGGCGAGGGCGAGGGAGAGGGAGAGGTGGATCCCGAGACTGCAGAGCAGCTGGTGTAGCTAGGAAGAGGGGGCGTGGCTTTAGGTTGGCTCTTCCTAGACCTGTTCAAAGACCGATCCTGGATCTCCTCTGAATTTGGATCTTACCCTGCAGCGATTCCCACAGCAGCCTGCACCGCAACAGCCCTTGCCCCCTGCCCGGACGGCTGCAATTCCCGGACACAGTACCTATGGAACAAAAGTGCGTGTGGCAGCCAGTCCCTCCAGATCCTCCAGGCCTTTCAGGGGTGGGCAAACTTTTTGACTGGAGGGCCACAATGGGTTCTTAAACTGGACCGGAGGGCCGGAACAAAAGTATGGATGGAGTGTTTGTGTGAACTAATATAAATTCAAAGTAAACATCATTACATAAAAGGGTACGGTCTTTTTTTTTTTTAGTTTTATTCATTTCAAACGGGCTGCATCCGGCCCGCGGGCCGTAGTCATCAGTGCTTACCTCCTCCTGGAACCTGCCTGTGATGTCCTTAGCCCTTTGGACTGTAGGAAGACCTTATCTGTACTTCTCCGGGAGCACTCTCAGGTTCCATATTCATTTATCATAATTTATGTGTCTACTTATTTCTGTCCAGATTGTAGCCTCCAGGAGGGTAGGGCCTAATAATATATTCTCAATAAATCTTGAGACATGTTCGGTGCCCAATTGAATGGCAGTTAGGAGGCCTGGGTTTAATGCTAACCCCAATGCACTGCACACTCCAGGAATTGGTTCATCTCTCAGGGTCTCTGTTTTGTCCTCTGTAAAATGGGTCTGCAATACCTACCTCACAGGGCTGATCTCATGATTTTTTTAATGAGATAACAAGTTGACTGGATGTCAAGACTAGCTCAGAGTAAATGCTCAATAACTATACATTCCCTCAACAGCAGGAAGGAATGGTGGTGCTGGAGTGTCTGGGATCATGATGGTGGAGGGTGGAGGAGAATGTTAGTGGAGGCTCTGATGGGAAGTATAAGAATCCCCAAGTTACAGCTGTCATCCTCTTTGTCTTTCTTTCTCCCTGTGGCCTTCCTCATGGAGCCCATCCCCTCCAGGACATCAGCTTCTTCCTCTGCCAATAGTCACCTCCTAAATCATGCCTCCAGATTCAAATCTAACTGCCTTAAGGATATATGTCCACTTGAATGACTTGGTTTTAGCTCAAATTCAGCCAGCCCCATTCTGACATCACAACTTATTCCCCAAATTCATCTCCCATCAACTTTCTTTTTTAAAAAAATATAATTTTATCGATTTCAGAGAGTAAGGGAGGAAAGAGAGATAGAAACATCAATGATGAGAGAGAATCGTTGATCGGCTGCCTCCTGCACACTTCACACTGGGGATGGAGCCTGCAATCTGGGCATGTGCCCTGACCGGGAATCGAAACCATGACCACTGGCCTAGTTCAAGCCACTATCATCTCTCCTGGGCAACTGCAGTGACCTTCATCCCTCTATCTGATCTTTCTGCATCCACTATTGACTTCCCACTCTCCATTCTCCACATAGCTGCACGAGGGATTTTCTTTAAAAGAATAGTTTATTTAAAAATAAAAAAAGAATAGTTTACTGATTTAAAAAAATTTTTTTAGAGAGAGAGTGGAGTGTGCAGAAAGGAAAGGGAGAGAGAGAAACATGGATTTGAAAATGCAACATCGATTAGCTGCCTCCTGCATGCCCCCTAGTGGAGATCGAGCCCAAAACCCAGGCATATTCCCTTGATGGGGAAATTGAACCGTCAACCTCCTGGTGCACTGGACGACACCCAACCAATTGAGCCACACCAGCCAGGGCCACAGGGATCTTCTTAAGCCCAATAGGGTATGGAGCAACTAGAACTCTAATACTTTGCTAATGGACATGGACTTAGTATAAGAGCTTCAGAAAACTCTTTGGTAATATCTAGTTGCACTGAATATTTGCACACTTAAGAACCAGCAGTTTTACTCCTAGGTATGCATCCAACAGAAATGCAAACATTTATTCCCCTAAAGACATTTTCAGGTATCTTTATGGTAGCCTTATTTGTAATAAACCCAAGTTGGAAACTATCCCACTGTCCATCAACAGTCGAATGCTTAAATAAATTGTGGTATATTCACACAATGGAATGCATAAGAAATAATAAACTACAAATACATGCAATAATATGGATGAACCTCACACACATAATGTTGAGCTCAAGAAGCCAGACACAGGTGGCCACACTGTATGAGTCCATTTATATTAAGTGCCAATTAGGCAAAACCAATCTATGGGATAGAAGCCAAGATAGTTGGGACTCTTGTCAGTGGCAGGTAGTGTCTGGTGGGAGGCACACCTGGGATTCTGGTAATGACCTGTAT